CTGGAACAGCACATCAGCAGAGAACTACCAGAAGTCCAGGCTGGGTTTAGAAGGGGTCGTGGTACTAGGGATATTGTAGCTGATGTTAGATGGATCTTGGCTGAAAGCAGGGAATACCAGAGGAATGTCTATCTGTGTTTCATTGACTATGCAAAGGCGTTTGACTGTGTGGATCATAATAACAAACTATGGCTGACTCTGAGAAGAATGGGAATCCCAGAACACTTGATCGTTCTAATGCAAAACCTATACTTGGACCAGGAGGCAGTCATCAGAACAGAGCAAGGGAACACTGCATGGTTCAAAATTGGGAAGGGCGTACACCAGGGATGCATCCTATCTCCATACCTTTTCAACCTATATGCAGAACAGATTATCCGGCAGGCTGGGCTCTATGAGGAGAAATGTGGGGTCAGGATTGGTGGACGATTTATCAACAATCTGTGTTATGCAGATGACACAACCCTGCTTGCTGAAACTGAAGAGGACCTGAAACACCTGCTGCAGAGGGTCAAGGACTGCAGCCTGCAATGTGGATTGAGGCTCAATGTCAAGAAGACAAAGATTCTCACCACTGGACCAACTGGCAGCATCAGGATGGATGGTGAAGAGATTGAAATTGTACACAGCTTTAGTTAGCTTGGCTCCACGGTCAACAGTCTTGGCACCAGCAGCCAGGAAATTAAAAGGCGCATTGCCATGGGAAAGTCTGCTGTTAGGGACCTCTCCAAAGTACTGAAGAGCAATGGTGTCTCTCTAGAGACTAAGGTGTGTCTGATACAGGCCATGGTCTTCACAATCACTTGTTATGCATCAGAGAGTTGGACAATGACCAAGGAGGATAGAAGGAAAATTGATGCCTTTGAGCTGTGGTGCTGGAGAAGAGTATTGAGAATACCATGGACTGCTAGGAAAACAAACAGATTTGTCCTGGAAAGTGTTAAACTCCTTGGAGGCAAGGATTCTGAGGCTCCATCTAACATACTTTGGACATGTTGTGAGGAGAGACCGGTCCTTGGAGAAGGACATCATGCTTGGGAGGGTGGAGGGACAGCGCAGGAGAGCAAGGCCCTCTATGAGCTGGATTGACTCAGTGACTGGGATGACCGGGATGGGAGTGTCAGAGATAGTACGATTGGCACAGGACAGAGCAGAGTTTAGGGCTGTTGTACATAGGGTCGCTATGAGTCGCAAGCGACTCGACGGCACATAACAACACACTCAGTGTGTTAAGTATTTTACAATGTAATAGTCACAACTGTTATTATCCCTACTTTACAAATGAGGGAAACTGAAGGTCCAGGATTTCCATTCAGACAATTTGAACACCAAATCACATGTTTCTTCTCAACCTGGAGTAAGTTTACCTAATTTACTAAACTATTAAACATTATAAAAACTTTCAAAAGGAAATGCTATTATCACTCTACATTATTTCTTTTTTTTATTGTGTAGATATTTATTTAACAAAGGAGAAAATAAATTTACATTAATTTTTCAGTCAAAATTAAAACCATAATAACAATAACTATAATTTTTTTGTAATACAGATTTACAAACAAAGAGAATGAGGGTGAGGGTAAGAGGAATGAATATCTGCCTTCATTTCAAAGCTGTTATTTATTTTCTGTGATCAATGATTGCAAGTACTTGTTTGTATAAACTATTGCATGAACTATGTTGGTCATATTAAAAACAGACAGCAGGCTAGACTTGGCCCATGGCCTGGGTTATGATTTGCTCACCTAGAGGTTGAGTGTTCAAAACCAGCAGTGGGTTCATGGGAGAAGAGGTGACAGTTTACCTCTGTGAAGATTTACAACTCTACACTATTTCTTAAGGAAAGCTGAACATTCTTCATAAAAAAAAAAAGTGTAAACAGTGAGTAGGGTAAGGACGACCAAGTCTGACCTCTACTAATTCCACAAGGGGGAACTGCCCCCTCAACAGCATCCACAACACAAAGCTAATTCCAAGGAGGTCAGATACGTTACCCCATGTCTCCATCTGCTGTGGTTATTGGTACCGGCCCATAGCTGACCCTCGAGCAGGTTTTCAGAGGCAGTTAATCACCCAGGAGGAGATTGCTCATCCTTCTTCCATGGAGCAGTTGGTGGCTTTGATCTGTATGCCTTTGGGATTGCAGCACAGCTTGCCACTAGGCCACCAGAGCTCCCTCATACCTCCATCTACAACTAATTATTCCAACACCAATACTGCTCTACTAGACCAAAAATTCATTGCAATAGATACAAACAGACCTCACAGAACCACACTCAGGTTTGTGGGTTTATTGGGGAAGCTAACGGGTTACAACTCAGGTTGGCAACAGGATACAACTCATGACAGCTTCTGAAGCATGTTCATGGGCCCTTCAGCATTGCAGCTTCAGTCCAGTCTTAAAAGCTCATAGACCTGACAGTTAAGGCATCTTCTCTACTCCTCCAATGAGCCTGAGCAAAGGCCCTGGACTTTTTACTCCAGGGGACAGCAATCCTAGGTCAGCTGTCTCATTTTGGGTCTCTCTTTCTCTGCTGCAAATGCAGATGCTCTCCTGTAGGTTTGACTGGTGCAGGAATGTCTGGCTCTGAAGAACTTACACTGCATTCTGTTTCTTACTAGTAGTGAAATTCCCACATTTCTGCCTCTGAATCTGCTCAGTTTAAACCTGGGGAAGGGTGACTAGCCACGACCATTGTAGATAGACTAAACTAATAACACACCCTATTTGCATGTTCCCATTCAGCCATGTGGCCAAGTCAAGGGCACTAGACTAGGGAAGCCATTCTGAACATTAGAACCACAGAAAATATTGTGGATTAAAGAACATTTCATCCCTGTCCAGTCTGTGCAGAACATTTGAAGGCCACAATTTTGAAAATAAAACCTTCCTAGTGAAGTGCACAGTAGCCACAGCCTCTGCAAACCAGCCAGAGGGTCAGCTGGAGTCAGTTTCCACTGGATAGCACATAACATGCTGGAGGAAAAGAGACTTGTATTGTGGTCCCTTTCTATCCAAGTATGACTTTGAATAACTCAGTGTCCACTCAACCCTGATAACCCATGGAGGAAATACCTAGTTTCTCTTCGACTATATTCTGTGAACCAGATGACATTTTTATTCCATATGAAATTGACCAGCCAAATCAAGTACAAAGAATAACAGGTATCATTTATTTTCTCTTGATCTCTAATAGCTTTATGTTGTATACTATTTAGTCTGAACTAGTTGACCCTCCAGCAGATTTTCAGAGGCAGTAAACATCACAGAGCAACTGATGGATTTGAACTGAGTACCTCTTGCTAGCAGCTTAATTCCTTCACAGAGCCACCTTTATGTGCTTTAAGAGCTTTATGGGGTAGCCAAAAATCTATTTTACAGAAAAGGGAACTAAGGCATAACTGTACCAGGATTATGACATTTGGACTAGATTCCACAGGCCAGGCATTCTTCTTTTAGTGTGCTGAGTTCTGAAAGGTAATATATACTGTTCGCATTTCTCCCTCTGGTGGTAATAAAACCAAATCCTGTTGCTGTTGTGCTGATCTGGACTCATAGCAACCCAAAAGGATTTGCAAAGCTGTAAAACAGAGCGGACAATCGCCTCTTTGTTCAGTTTCCGCTTAACCGCTACACAACTAAGGTTCCTTACATTAATATTCTCCAAATCACCATCAAGTGATTCCAACTACAAATTTTTAAGGGATGAGACTGCCTGCCTTTCTACCCAACAGTTTCCAGAGATGCAGCTTTTTGATTAGCAGTCCAGCTAGGTCTACCCCAGCCAGAATTAATATTAAAAACAAACAATGTAACCCTCTCTAAAACTCATCACCTACAAGGCTGTAAATTAATTACACAGAAGGCGATTGCTTATCTTCTCCAAGGAGCAACTGGTGGATTGGAACTGCCAGAAAGACGCCTTTAAGCTGGCGGGCCAACTCCCTATGGATACCAAAGGCTGTGGCAAGGTTCTATAATACACAAATCTGTGATAGCTCCATGATTTACCTTGCTCTCTGCTCTCCTTACCTAAATTTTTTCTTTCTTTAGGGTTATGGTCTGTCTTCATCATTGAAGTCGTTGCAGCTTTACCCACAACATTGTTCTTTATTAGTGAATCAAACAGCGGAGTTTTGTTCCCATATTAATTATAAGAAAATTATTTGGAAACAGGGAGACTGAATTCCTTTATTTTGACTAAGGCTCAGTAGTTTAACTTCTCAACTCCCAGCCCTCGAGCTGGAGCCGATTAATTGCTCCAGAGGTTGCCCATCTTTCTTATCATCCTAGGGCCACTCCGAGCTGCTAGTGGATTCGAGCCTCTGGAGACTCAGATTTTGGGTTAGCAACGCCACTTCCTTCAGACTATGCCACCAGAGCTCTAAAGTCAGGAGCTTAAATTTCTGGCATCTATATTTTTTTCCACTCTAAACGCCAAGGGTCTCCATTTGGGCGCGGCCAGGGACCCGTGGAGAGACTCTTTTGGAGAGAGATCTCAGAAGTTTCTCCCTTGCTCGCTCTAGCTCTTCAGAGCACCCTTGTCCTTTCTCATGCTAGATCTTTGAGGCCTAAATTTTTTTTAATTTTTTTTTTGCATCACCAAATCGCCGAAACTGGAGATGAAATCAGATGCAATGCCGTGCCCAAGTGAGAAAAGTGAGACAGTTTCGGGTCCCACAAGCACCATGAAACAATCTCGTTTGTTCTGCAACAGCAAATAGACAACTTACGCTCTCAGAGCCAACAATTCACACACTAGACACGATCTCTTCCTGCCCCCGCGCCGGAAGAGCCCCGCGCCGGAAGAGCCCCGCGCCGGAAGAGCCCCGCGCCGGAAGAGCCCCGCGCCCGCCATCTCTTCACCGGGGAAGCTCTGCCCCACCAACTCTGCACTGGAACGCCTCGCTCCGGCTGGGCCCTGCCCAGTAACCCCGGTTTTACCCTCCCCCTTCTCATGCCTTCGGCTTTAACGTCACTGGTGCGCCACTTTCCCAACATGACGGCCTTCCTCTACTCCGTGGGCTTTGGCCCTTGGGTGAGTAGTCGACCTGGGAAGGGACGTTAGCGGCAGGGAGCCATGGAGGTGGTGGTATTGCAGCGGTCTCACTTACTTCCACCCGCAGGCCCTGGCCGGGAGCCGACTATTGCCTTGGGTCTGGCGCGCCCTGCATACGTCCTCCGCCTGCGCCAAGGTGAGCTCGGAGAGGGAGGGAGTTTTGGGCTTTTCCTAAGGCCTTCGGCTTGGAGTCACTGCTCCTCTCTGCTTTTAGAACAGGGCAGCTCGAGTCCGTGTGGGCAAGGGGGACAAGCCAGTGACTTACGAAGAAGCGCACGCTCCACACCACATCGCGCACCGCAAGGGTTGGCTGTCGCTGCACACAGGTGAGGGCATGGGACGGGGGGAGCGGCTGCAAGTGTGGGAAGGCGTTCATTTAAGGGCTACAAAACTAAGCTCTCCCTTTTGATCATTGTATTAAAGAACAATGTAAAACACTGTGTAAGAACAAAAGTAAAAGAGCACGTGTCAGAGATTTTTTTGATTCACTCAAAGACTAAAAACAGTTTAGTTGGAGCTGACCCTCCAGCGGGTTTTTAGTAAATCACAGGAGGGGAGATTGGTCATCCTTCTCCCATGGAACAGCTGGTGGAATCGAACTGCCAGAGGGGTGCAGCATTTGGATGAGCGACGCAATAGTAATTAACAACGCGGATGCCTCAAAAACGATTAAAAAGAGCAATAAGAAACTGGGTATATGTGGATTTGATATGCTGAAATTAATTTAAAAATGGATGCAATACTGGTTTTATCTGTGGAGTGATGGGGATATCAAGTTATTTTGCACTCCTTAAGGATGCTTTATGCACAATATTAAATGATCCAGGAAGTATTAAAAGAAGCTGGAAAGAATTTAGTCACAGTTTCGAAAGGAATTGGCAGACACAGAAGAATCTCATGAAACAACATGAGCAAAATCCTGTGGTGATGAAGGAAGAAGTTCAAGCTGCTTTGAAGGAATTAGCAAAACATAAGGCCCCAGGAATAGATGTTATGCCAATTGATGTATTTCAACTATCAGATGCTGTCCTGGATGTGCTCACCAAGTTTTGCCAAGAAATCTGGAGAACAACCACTTGGCCAACTGACTGGAAGAGATCTATATTTGTTCCTATCCCAAGGAAAGGTAACCCAACAGAATGTGGAAACTACAGAACAATCTCACTGATTTCACATGCAAGCAAGATTTTACTGAAGATTATCCAAAAATGACTGGAACAGCACATCAACAGAGAACTACCAGAAGTCCAGGCTGGGTTTAGAAGGGGTCGTGGTACTAGGGATATTGTAGCTGATGTTAGATGGATCTTGGCTGAAAGCAGGAAATACCAGAGGAATGTCTGTGTTTCATTGACTATGCAAAGGCATTTGACTGTGTGGATCATAATAACAAACTATGGCTGACTCTGAGAAGAATGGGAATCCCAGAACACTTGATCGTTCTAATGCAAAACCTATACTTGGACCAGGAAGGAAGCAGTCATCAGAACAGAGCAAGGGAACACTGCATGGTTCAAAATTGGGAAGGGCATACGCCAGGGATGCATCCTATTTCCGTACCTTTTCACAAGGTTGGTGGACGATTTATCAACAGTCTGTGTTATGACACAGATTATGCATTATCAACAGTCTGCAGATGACACAACCCTGCTTGCTGAAACTGAAGAGGACCTGAAAGACGTATTGCGATGAGAAAGTATGCTGTTAGGGACCTCTCCAAAGTACTGAAGAGCAATGGTATCACTCTGGAGACTAAGGTGTTCCTGATACGGGCCATGGTCTTTGCAGTCATTTGCTGTGCATTAGAGAGTTGGACAGTGACTAGGAAGGATAGAAAGAGAATTGATGCGTTTGAGCTGGTATTGAATGTACCATGGACTACTTAGAAAACAAACAGGTTCATTCTAGAGAGGGTTAAACCTGGCTGCTCATTGTAGGCAAGGACTCTGAGGCTTTGTCTGACATACTTTGGACATGTTGCACGGAGGAACCAGACCTTGGAGAGGGATGTCATGCTTAGGAGGGTTGAAGGGATAGCGAAGGAGAGGAAGACACTTTATGAGGTAGACTGAAGCAGTGACTGGGTGTGTCAGAGACAGTGAGACAGTGAGATTGGCACAGGACAGAGCAGGGTTTAGGGCTATTGTACATACGGTCGCAATGAGTCACAAGTGACTCGATGGCAGATAACAATAGCAGTTAACCTGGTTTTGTGAGGTGAACAAAAGCTCAGATGTGAAAAGATTCTGCTCTCTCAGACTCCTATCACTCAGAGGAGTGCATTCTGAATAATGCCATTTTCTGACCCCAGTTCTAACTGCAGTAGAGTCACTTTAGTCTCAGTCACCCCCATGTGACAGTAGAGCTGTGTTACAGGGATTTCTGGAGTGCTCTGATGGCTTAGTCGTAAGGAGTTGTGATGCCCACCCAAAGGCATATGTTTTGAATCAAGTTGAGGAGAAAGATGGGCAGTGTTTTCTTATGTGATAAACTGCCTCTGAAACCCACTGGAGGGTCAAATGTAAGTCAGTTCTAACTCTATAATACTTAACAACAGCAACGAATATACGTTTTCCTGGGCTCTTAATTTTATGGGAGCTGGTTGTCAGCTTTTCTCTCTTGCTGTTGGTTACCTTCCAGACCTTAGGTTAACGGTTGAGTGCTAGACGGATTCTCTATCTGGTATCTTATTTTGTTTATTTAAAGAGTTTTTAACTTCGATGTTTGCGATCCATCTGGAGAACTTAGAGATTCCTGTTCTCTAACCTCAACATTAAGAAAACAAAAATCAATAAGCAGCATAATGATAGGTGGAAAAAAGATTGAAGTTGTCAACAGTTTCATTTTACTTGGGTCACAATCAACACCTATGGTAGTAGCAGTCAAGAACTCAAAAGATGTGTTGTATTGCCATCAAAGACCTCTTAAAAATACTACTGAGCAAAGATAGCTCTTTAAAGACTAAGGTGCACTTGACCCAAATTAAGTATTTTCATATGCATATCAAAGTTTGACAGTGAATTAGGAAGACTGAAGATTTGTGTTGGAAAAGATTAACGAATATACCGTGGGGTACTGGTGAAACTTCAGTTTTCATACTTTGGACGTCTAGCTAGGCAAGACTATTCTTGGAAAGGGACAACAAAACAAACCAAATAAAAAACAAGTTTAATTTGCAGGAAGTGTAATAAGGGTGCTGCTTAGAATTAAGACCATACTCAAAATACGGTCTCATATACTTTCAGCATATTGTTAGCAGAGATCAGTCCTTGGGAAAAGACACCATACTTGGAAAAATATAGAGTCTGGAAAAGAAAGCAAGACCCTCAACATGGTACATTGGCACAGTGACTGCTACAGTAGTTTTGAGTTGAGCGTGGCAGAGAGAGATGGTAAGGTGCCAAATGGGGCAAGATTCTGGTTCATAGGGTGGCTATGAGTCAGAATTGACTTGATGGCACCTAACAACATCCCTTTTCAAGTTCTGTTTCTGAAAATAAGAGGTGACCATGGAGAATTTTTTAAATAGAAATAAGGCATTCAGATACTGTGATAACCTACTGGCAGGTTACTGATTCTGGCTCTAAGGAGATGTCCCTAGTCTCAGAAGTGGCCACTAGCATTCATCTCCGACCTATGAATTCATTGATCATTTTCTATACAGCAGATGAAAAGGTACGGAAAGGGAGTTAAATGGGAGAAAGAGTGTGGGTGTTGTGTCCTAGATTTACATCTTAGTTCTCCTTTTGTAAAACAATAACAGTTCTTTTTTTTCATAGGATTGGGTTGGAAATTTAATGGGATAATGTATTTTGAGCTTTCACATACTCCCTACTGGCAGAGGAAAAGAGAAATGGGTGTGTGGTGAGAAATAGATTTGTGTGCTCATTGCTTTTGGATGTTACCACTAGAGTGTTGGCAAGTTCTACTGCAGCAAGATTGACCCCTTCCATGTTCTCTTCTCTTAGGAAACCTAGACGGAGAGAAACACACCGCAGAGCGAACAGTGGAGGATGTCTTCCTTCGAAAGTTTCTAATGGGAACCTTCCCTGGTTGCTTAGCTGACCAGCTGATCCTAAAGCGCCGAGCTAACCAGGTGGAGATCTGTGCCCTAGTGCTGAGGAACCTGCCTGTGCACAAGTTTTACTTTCTTGTAGGCTACAGTGAAACCCTCCTTTCCCACTTTTACAAATGTCCTGTCCGTTTGCATCTCCAAACCGTGCCCTCGAAGATAGTGTATAAGTACATCTAGAATGATGGTCACTTTTTTCTTCAAATTCAGCCCACAAAAGACAGAAGAACTTGAGAGAATACATTCCCTTAGAGTATTGAAACATTGTTTTCCAAAGCTGCTACTGAATAAATCATTTTATTATCTTGCCTTTCAGTATTTCCTTACTGTTCAGAGGAGTGAAGTATAGCAGAGTTTTTCTGAAAGCTTCAGGTTTTCCAAGAAAGCTATCAGTGGTCTGAAGTTTAGGTAATGGTTGTGTTCTATTAGGCACTTTGCCAAAAGTTCCTTATAGTCTCTCTAACTAGAAAGACTCACTTTTGGGGATTTTAAGCTAATCAGTGTTTTGTTTTTATTTTTTAAATCAAGTCAGTAAAGATGTTTATCAGATGGACCATGATACTTGCTTGTAACTTTATTCCAGAGAGAATTGCTATTAATATTTCGCTGTATTTGCACATCTTCCTTTGTTCTAGAAGGGAGCTCTTGTAACCTAGTTGGTAAGTAGTGCTACCAACCCCAAAAGGCAGATGGTTCAACTCCCATCAGCTGTTCCACAGGAGAAAGATAGACAATGTCCCATGTGATTTATATCTTCTGAAAACCCACTGCAGGTTCAGCTATGAGTTCCACCTTCATGGCAATGAACAACAGTAACCTTTATCAGAAATACATCAGTGTATACTTTCCATTCACTAAACAAACTTGATAGCATAGTGCATAGGAGATTTGCTGCTAATCAAAAAACTGAAATTTTTTGGTGTCCTGTATATACCAATGGCTGCACTGGTAAGAGACAGGTAGTCTCTTTCTATTGTGATAATACTGTTATGTACTGTCAGGTTGGAACCAGCCCATAACTAATCCTCCAGTGAGTTTTCAGAGGCAATAAGTCACACAGGAGGAGATTGCCTATCTTTCTCCCAGAACACTTAGTGGATTTGAACTACGTGCCTTTGGTTTGGCAGCATTGATTTTTACCACGAGGCCACCAGACTTTCCTCTGTTGTGATACACAGTCTTGGAAATTTGATGGAGTGTCAGCCTGAGTTGAAGCCAACTCCATTGCAGTGAGTTTTGAGACTGTATAGCAGAGATTTAAATGCTTTTAATAAATTACTGAGCAGAACATTCCAAAATACTTGCCTTGATGAAATGGAGAAGATAGGGATGGTTAAGCTTCATGAGACTCGAAATAGGTGAAGGGGATAGACATGCACATAAATGAAGGAAAAGCATTTTGGGGAAATGATAAAGGGGGGAGGGTTCTGCAGAGTAAGAATTGCTGACTGCTAACCTTGACCATGATCCTCACACGTAACATCTTTATTCTGATCTAATCTTGAACTTGACAATGACTTAGACTGACCTTAACCCTCAATTACATCTTCAAACCTTGAACTTAACTCTTGACTCAGCATCCTGATCTTACTCTTATCCTTACTTATCCTTACTCTTGCACTTATTCTTTAACCCTGAGCCTTACTCTGACCCCGACACACAGCTTGAACACCCAGACTATCTTCTGATTATGTCCTGTAAGCTTGACCCTGATTCTGTGATTGACTTTGACCCTGAATCTGATCTTGAACAGCAGATTCACTCTTAGTTGGACATTGATGCTCATAATGATCTTGATCTCATGGTAACTCATCTTGGTTTTAGTAATAATACAATCAGATTAATCATGAATCTGACCTGGACTATCATCCCTTTCCTGAGCTTCACCTGATGCTAACCCTTACTGACCCTGCACTTGGTTCCAACTTAAACCTGAACCAAACTTTTTAATTTATTTTAATGGAAGTTTACAGAGACTTTGGATTTCCATTCATTCATTGTTCACACTTTTCTCCGAGTTCACTGTTTGAAAATAAAAAAATAAATAAAAATTTCATTGTTCTACAGTCCCTCCACAGTCCACTCCATTATGAAGCTTTCATTCTGCTGAACCAAACTTTCACCCAAAGTATTTATTTAATTGTGATGACTGAGAATTTACAAATCATACTGGGGTGTTCTTTATTTTTTTTCAGTGAGTCATTCAAATTTTATTTTCTGATATATATATATTTGGAATTAGTTAATTATGTTGTCTAGTTAACGCATTTCTCTTTTGTCTTTGTAATGACCGTTTGCACTCTTCTTGGATGATACATTTGACATCCACCCACAATGCATTAGGTCTTTGCTTATTGGTGTTCAAGGCCTCAAACCTGTTCCTGAGATGGTTCTGAAATTCAGGTAGGATGAACTCAAAAGTCATATTTTGCTTCCCATGGATTCGGTTTAATTTTCCTCACCTTCAGCTTGAACTTGCATGTAAGTAGTTCGTGGTCTGTTCCACAGTCAGCTCCTAGCTTAGTTTTCACAGCTGATATTGAGCTTCTCCAGCGTGTCTTTCCGCAGATGTAATCGATCTGATTCTTATGCATACCATCAGGTGAAATTCATGTGTATAACCTGCCTTTATGTTTCTTATAAAATGTATTTGCAGTGAATAAGTCATTGATTGTGCAAAACTCAATCATTCTATCTCAAGCTTTATTTTTGTCACCAAGTCCATGTTTTCCAGCTACTGATTCTTCTTTGTTCGCAACTTCTGCATTCCGAAGGGTGACCCAACAGAGTGTGGAAACTATAGAACAATATCATTGGTTTCACATGCAAGAAAGATTCTACTGAAGATTATCCAAAAACGACTGGAACACCACATCAGCAGAGAATTGCCAGAAGTCCAGGCTGGGTTTAGAAGGGGTCGTGGTACTAGGGATATTGTAGCTGATGTTAGATGGATCTTAGCTGAAAGCAGGGAAGGGAATACCAGAAGAATGTCTATCTGTGTTTCATTGATTATGCAAAGCTGTTTGACTGTGTGGATCATAGCGAACTGTGGCTGACTCTGAGAAGAATGGTAATCCCAGAACACTTGATTGTTCTAATGCGAAACCTATACTTGGACCAGGAGGCAGTCATCAGAACAGAGTGGGGAAACACTGCATGGTTCAATATTGGGAAAGGTGTACGCCAGGGATGTGCCCTATCTCCATACCTTTTCAACCTGTATGCAGAGCAGATTATCCGAGAGGATGGGCTCTATGAGGCGAAGTGTGGCATCAGGATTGGTAGAAGATCTATTAACAATCTGTTATGCAGATGATACAACCCTGCTTGCCTAAACTGAGGAGGATCTGAAATGCTTGCTGCAGAGGGTCAAGGACTGCAGCCTTCAGTATGGATTAAGGCTCAATGTTAAGACAAAGATTCTCACCACATCAGGATGGATGGTAAAGAGATTATTAACAACTATAGTTTGCTTGGCTCCACGGTCAGCACTCTTGGTACCAGTAGCCAGGAAATAAACGTATTGTGATAGGAAAGTGCTGTTAGGGAACTTTCCAGGGTACTGAAGAGTAATGGTGTCACTCTGGAGACTAAGGTGCGTCTGATACAGGCTATGCTCTTTGCATTCACTTGATATGCATCAGAGAGTTGGACAATGACCAAGGAGGATAGAAGGAGAATTGATGTCTTTGAGCTGTGGTGCTGGAGAAGAATATTGAATATACCATGGACTGCCAAGAAAACAGAGTCATCCTAAAGAGGCTTAAACGAGGCTGCTCCTTGGAGGCAAAGATGCTGGGGTTTCGTCTGACATACTTTGGACGTATAACGAGGGACAGGTCCTTGGAGAGGGACATCATGCTTGGGAGGGTGGAGGGACGGCGCAAGAGGGTAAGACCCTCTATGAGATGGATTGATTCAGTGACTGGGATAATCGGGATGGGTGTGTCGGAGGCAGTGTGATTGGCACAGGAGAGCAGGATTTAGGGCTGTTGTACATAGGGTTGCTATGAGTTGCAGGTGACTCAGCACATAACAGTTAACCCATATTGTATAATGCCTTTTCCTTCACCCAGCTTGGTGAATGTCTATTACTTGTTAATTGTTCCTCCCCTTTTTTCCTCCTTTCATAACTGGTTCCAATAATCTAAGAATGACTCTGTGTGATCCCCAGGTAGCTGTCCTCCAGATTTCTTAGCACAATCTGGTGAGCACGTCCATGACAGCATGTGTTTGTTGAAATATGTCAATTGGTATTCCATCAATTCTTGGGGCTTAATTATTTGCCAAGTCCTTCAGAGCCACATGTACTTTCTTTTTCATCACCATAGGCTCTTGATCATATGTTCTTTGAAATTCTTCTGTGTCAGCAGTTCTTTTTGGGACAGTGACTCTGTATACTCCTTCCATCTCTTAATACTTCTGGATCATTCAGTATATCCAAGTTTTATGACTAGAGTCTTGAATTTGTTCTTTAGTTCCTTCAGCTTAAGAAATGCTGAGCAAGTACGGCCCCTGTGATTTTCTGACTCTAGCTCCTTGCACATTTCATTATAATACTTTGGTTTGTCTTCCCATGCTGCCCTTTGAAATTTTCAACTCCTTAACTTACTGATTTTTTCCCTTTGCTTTAGCTCTTGGCACTCTAGTGCATTATTCAGAGTATCTTCTGACTCTTGACTTTTGGTCTTCTTAGTAATGACCTTTTGCGTTTTTTGGTGGTGGTTTTTAAAAATTTTTTTTATTATTTCAGTGAAAATTTATAGAGACTTTGAATTTCATTCATTCATTGTTGCCTTTTCTCCCCACCCACCCCTCCCTCCCAGTACACTTCCCTCTTGAAAAGTAAAAGAAAAATTATTCCATTGTTTTACAATCCCTCCCCCCCAGGTCCACTCCACTATGCAGCCTTTGCTCTGCACTCCCGTCATGACAAAAATACCTAATCACATATCCCTTTTAAACAGTTTTCT